TACACCCTTGCTTTGTTTCCAAGATCACTTTTCATTCAATTTCTTTAAAATTTCCTCTTCCCAGAAAATCTGCCTCCTATTTGAATACCGTCCCTCACTTCCCTTGAGATCTAAAATAGACCCCAAAGAGTCATTGTTTTACTATTGCGCTTTCAAAATCACTCTCCTGTGAGATTAGGGATAGATAAACTCAATGCCATTAAATTTCTATCTGTCCTGAGTCAGGAACATGAAACTCTTATTCTGCATTTAGAATATTACTAGATGAACAACAATTAAGTTTTTGTGAGCTATATAAATGTGGGCACTGCACTAAAAAGCTAAATGCACCTTAAACATCACATAGGTACACCAGAGAGCTGCAATGCTTTAAAACTCAAAATTACAAACTATGCAATGCTCAGTGTAAGGACAAACATACTACTGTTTGTTTTCAGACTACTGAAAAGCAATTTAAAGAGCACTTGGTGACTTTCTGGCATAAAAGTCATAAAATTTTCAAATAAATGGATTAATCAAGCAATTGGCCACATGGCTGCTTTTTAATGAGGCATTTCACACAGGGCATTATTTGACAGGAATAAAGGCCAGAATAGGATGTGCTTTAATCACCTGTATCTCTTCAGCATTGTTCTGTGTACAGTAAACAAAGTAAGCTTGATTATAATTCTCAAATTCATCTTAAACAATAACACAGAGAAATCTGCTGTGGATACAGGCACTTGCTGCCTTCACAGACAGTAATAAATGTCTCCTGGTGAACTTAAATAATGGGCAGAAGGTTCCAAAGGGCAAAGGCTGTCAGTTTTACTCAAGTTGGGTGCCTAGCAATTCCTCCAGCACTTGCTGTCCCTATCTGCACTGACAGCTGCACTTCCTGTCCCTGCGTCTGTCCATAAGACACTCAGGAAGGAAGGTTTATATCTTTGCATGTTTCCCATGAAACTTTCATGGCTAATTCCTGGAGCACTGAGTCAGACTGACCATCCACAAACTCTCCACCCTCCCCCAATCCAAATTTCTATTTGTTCTCCCTAATTTTTCTCCTAATTTCTCATTGTTATGGGCCTTTTCCTCATTTAAACTGCATTTTTTTTTAACATATTAACCAATTCTAGCAATATTTTAAAATACAGGCTAGTATCACTGCTTTGTTTTAAACAGTTACTAAAATTTGCATCAATTACTCTAAGTAAAATATTACAAAAATCACCAAAAATATTCTGGTCTTTTTGGGGGGCAGCGTGCGTTTGTTACACTGCTACAACTGGATGCACTCATTCACTACAGTCATTAAAATGGGGTTTCTTGTAAATTTCAAATATACTGTGGATGAAATTGGCTTATGTCTCATCCAGCTTAATTTAATTCTCTTAAAATCTTCCTGTACTGTTTAAAATATAAATTGCTTCAGATGTCATTTGCCTCAGACTGATTTGAAACAGCCTGGCAAACCTACTTGAATCAAGTTTCTCTTGGATCTATTGCAGTGGAGAAATTGCTTTAAAAAGCAAGAGCTTTTCTTCAAACTCGAGCTATTGATCAGAATTAACTTATTCAACTTTAGGACGGCTTCCTTTCCAAGAAACGTTTTGGAGCTTAAAATACCTCAGACTGAGATTATGGCAACCAAATATTAGCTGTATTAATCATACAAGTATAGTCATTGTCCCGCTGTGTCAAATTTGTAGAGAAAAAGAAGTTTTGCAGCACTCTTCGCTGGACTTTGAATCTAAACATCTGACTACTACTGCATCTAAAGAAAGGCCACCAGCTGCTTTCGGCAGCTGAAGGAAAAAGAATTACTCAGTTAAAACCGAAAGTCTGTTGCAAAGTACTCACCAAACTCCTAGCAACAGTTCTTGAAGAAAGAGGGAATTCCTGAATCAGAGCTGAATATGATCCTCCCCTCCTAATTCACGTTGCAGGGGTGTGGTGTAAAGCTCCAAAGGCAGGGAGGGCTGCAACCTGATCCTGCCAGAGGAGTAATCCCTCCTGCCGGAGGAACAATCCCTCCTGCCGGGGCAGCGGTCCCTCCTGCCGGAGGAGCGGTCCCTCCTGCCGGAGGAGCGGTCCCTCCTGCCGGAGCAGCAATCCCTCCTGCCGGGGCAGCAATCCCTCCTGCCGGAGGAACAATCCCTCCTGCCGGAGGAGCGGTCCCTCCTGCCGGAGGAGCAATCCCTCCTGCCGGAGGAGCAGTCCCTCCTGCCGGAGGAGCAGTCCCTCCTGCCTGCCTTCTCTCGGCTCGCCGCCGCTCGGGCGTATTGCGGGGCTGGCTCCGGGTAGAAGTCACAGACCCGCGGGGATGCTTCCTGTTTAAACTTCTCCTCTGCCTCCAGTTTGGAGCGACTGTTTAACAAACAGCACGAGCTAAAAAGAAATGCCCTTTTTAAAAAGAGTGAGGAACTGTAGGATAATTTATTCATTTCAATTTTCCAGATAAGGAATTTAAAGGTAAGAGACAGAAATAACAGCTGAAGTACAATAACTTACGTAGTCAGTAGCTGTAACTCATTGTAATTATTTCTAGGCTAGAACGAACAGGTAGTTAAATCACTTCCATTGAAGGTTATATTCAGCTGTTCACCAGCATCCTGAAACAGACGGGAAGTTTGTCCTGGTCAGTTAATGGATTAACCATCTCTGACACAAACAGAAGGACTCCTGGCAGCTCCTTAGATCTCCTGGCTGTTGTTCCTGACTGTAAAAATGTTTGTAATACTTTTCAGAACAAAGTCAGTAGTCAGCTGAGTCTACTTACTATTAACTGGGTCAATAATCAAATGGATTAACTGTCCTGAAATGGACTAGAAGTGCCCCCAAAGTAAAGGGACAATTCAAATGCTGGGAATGGGGCTCTACCTTGCTGTTACTAATTACCAGCTCAGATAAAGAGGCAAGCCAGATGCAGAGGTCAGTGAAAAGGAAGTGGTCAGTCTGTCATTTGTGTCACACCACAGAAAATGAAAACATTTTGTTGAGAATTAGTATCTATTAGTGCTATCCATAAATCTGTTTGAGGGTCACAAGAAAGTCCAAAGCAGATGCACTAAAATTACACCATGATTTAAACAAATGTCTGTACGTTTGCAATAGACACAAAACTCACTAGATTTCAAAATATGTACATACTTCTCCACTTTGATAATGCACCTATATGGATGAACAAGGATCTGTGTGGATAGTTTCAACCTTGCTCCACTCTACAAGCAATTTACAAAGAAGTTGCTTTGGTTTAAGTTGTATTGGATGTTGAATGGTCTGAAATTACAAATCCATGCAAATTTATTTCAAATCTAGGGATTGGGCCTGGCCATAATTTCAAGTGGATTTTCTGTTGCTATTTTATGAGATTTTTTTTTTAATGAACACACACAAAAAGAATTTTCATGGTTTGTATCAATGTGTTAGCATCAGTCTTTTTCCTCACGAGATCTTATTCAAGTAACTCAAAGAAATTCTAAAAGATATAGTCCACACAGACATAAAAAATTAAAAGGGAAAAGCTACAGTTTAAAACACATTTGACACTTATTGTCAAATAAGTGGAGAAAAACATATAAAGAAAAGTACTTTAAAAAACAGATAAGAGAATGAAACCCTTATTTTGACTAAAAGTTAGCCTAAGAAATCTTTGCAAATCATAAAACAGGATGAGAATAAAAATGCCACCATGTGCTCACAGAATGCTTACTCAAAAGAAAAAATCCAAGAAAACTATTTCTTTTCCAGATAAGCAGTTTTGCTTTCTATTCTATTGATGCCTCTCCAGCTCCCACATGCAGTCCTCCTAATTTAGTTGCCAGGAATTAATTTAGCTGTCCTCCTTATTTAGTTTGCATTATAGCTACAACATAAAAGGCTTCAGTTGAAACTGGAATCAGACTTTGAAGATGGAAACAAAACTGGTTTGAACCTTTAGTGTGATCAGAGAATTCCATCCAGCTATGACCTGGCCTAGAAAAATCACACTAATCTCTGGTGTGCCCTGAAGGCTGCTGATAACTCTTGTCTGTCCACAGTGGAAAATGTCCCTAC